CCTTAGAAGACTTCAAAGAGTTTTTGCCTATATACTTAGATTTGTTCACAATTCTGGAAAAAATTCTGGTGAAAAACTTGAGGGAAGTTTGAAGCTTTCAGAACTGGAACACAGTCTTAGAGTAATCATAAAATGTGAGCAAGACTTTTACTTTTCTAATGACATTAAATCTTTACTTTCCAATACCCCTTTAAAATCCTCATTAAACTCTTTGTCGCCGTTCCTAGATGGCAATGGATTATTGCGAGTGGGTGGAAGGTTACATAATTCAAACATTCCATATAATCAGAAACATCCTGTGATCTTGCCCAAGGAAAGTCACATCACCAAATTAATTATAATACAAGAACATTCAACTTTGTTGCACGCTGGACCAAGACAAGTTTTAGGTTCCCTAAACCTCAATTATTGGCTCATAAATGGAATAAGATTAATTAAAAAAGAGCTACACAAATGTGTGATTTGCTTTAAATTCAAAGCAAAATGTTCCACTCAATTAATGGGTTCCTTGCCGGAAAAAAGAGTCTGTTCAGCCAGAGTGTTTCAAAATGTCGGGGTAGATTTTTGCGGACCCTTCCTCGTTAAGCAATCTCGAATTAGAAAATCCGTAAGTTCCAAGGCATACATAGCACTTTTTGTGTGCTTTTCAGTCAAAGCAATTCATATGGAACTGCTTTCAGACCTGACAACCGAAAATTTTCTAGCTGCTCTGAAGCGTTTTATTTCGCGGAGGGGGAAGCCCGCAAATATTTTCTGCGACAATGGTTCCACGTTTAAAGGAGCCGAGAATAAAATCAAAGAGTTTTATAACGAAACAGAAAAAATTGAAAATTATTCCCTTCAGGAAAAAATTACATTTAATTTTATACCGAGCTATTCTCCAGTTTTTGGTGGTTTATGGGAAGCTGGAGTAAAATCGGCAAAATTTCACATCAAGCGAGTCATAGGTAGCAATGAGCTTACCTATGAACAATTTAATACTCTTATTGTCCAAGTAGAAGGAATTTTAAATTCCCGACCACTTGTAGCCTTGTCACAAGATCCTTCAGATTTGGACTATTTGACCCCTGGTCATTTTTTGATAGGTGCGCCTATCACAAGCTTTCCTGACCCTGATTTGACGGAAATTCCCCAAGGTCGACTTAAGTTTTGGAAATTGTGTGTCCAGATGCAGCAGCATTTTTGGAAAAAGTGGTATCACGACTATCTAACGCAACTCCAAAATAGGCCAAAATGGCGTGATGAGATGCCTAACCTTAGGGAGGGCTTGTTAGTCATTTTAAAAGAGGATAATGTACCTTCTTATAAGTGGCCAATGGCAAGAATAGTTAAAGCAATACCTGGAAAGGACGGCAAAGTAAGGGTTGTCGAAGTGAAAACCAAAAAAGGTATTTATCTCAGATCGGTTACCAAGATTGCAGTGTTACCGATTGATGACAATAATAATTGTTAATAATATTTTTGAAAATTATTCACAAAATTCTGTACATATATTTGTAAAACATTTAGATTTATATTTATATTCAATTAGCTATACTCGTATATACATACATAATGTCATACTATGTGTTCCAGAAATGTTTTTAGCTTTAATTGTTAGTTAAGTTTTCGTTTACTGGATCATCATTGAAATCATACCTTTTTTTTAAAAAAAAGGGTTGCTTACTTTCTCTTTAATTTTTTTTATTTTTTTTTGCTGGAAAATTTTACCTTGGTTTCATGTGAAACTCTAGGCCCCCCAGCATGTTGGAAACATGTTCCAACAATCATGCTATCTCTTTTTGATGGCAAAATATTTTTATACATATAAAGTTTGCAACACTGCAGCGTTGTCGTCATGTCTATTTTGTCATGTCTGTCAATATATTGCGCGCCATTTTTGTCATTGCAGCAGTGTAGCTTGGAGCTTGTCCACGTTAACAAGCATCCAGAAACCTTTTCACATTTTAATAAATTTTATAATCTAGCTCTGCCCTGTTGGGCATCTAAGCAAGCTCTGGCTTCTTGTCATCTTGTAGTAGTAATTGTAAATAGTGTAAATATTGTGTAAATTGTTGTAAATATAGTGTCAGTGAAAAGCGCGTGTGTTTTAGTTCCCTATCCAGTCGATCATCCAGTCCACCTAATTATACAGTCCACTAATTATCAAGTTATTTATCTTCCATTATGTGGTTTTGCACACAAATCTCCATTAAATAATTAGAATTTAGGATAAAGGTTTGATAGAGGATAAATAAATTGGAAAGAACTCACAGTTTTCTCCTTGTTGCTTGTGGTTACGATAAATAAATAGTTGTAGTTGGATATTTATTGCTGCTGATGATGGAAATAGGCTTCCACTAGTATTTATTGCTCTTCGGCTTGGTGAAAAAACGCTCTGCCACTCAATAGAAATCCGGCTCGAAGGACCAAATGTTGCATCATGTGTTGTTTTCAGCAATATTAAACGATTCACATCGACGCTTTGTTGCAAATGCTGGCTTGTTAAGTTGAGTTGGGGATAAATAAGTAACGCCCATTCAAAATAATTATTTATTCTTCAGAGGTGAAACTTTAAACTAAAAATAATGCGGAGCAAACGAACTGTGTCGCACCAAGCCCAAAAATCAAGAGAGAGAGGATTACACAAAATATAAAAATGCCTGGAGGCAGGGTTGTAAAAAATTCCCTTTTGTTTGGTGCTGACGCATTAGAAATTAGATAACGAAAATGAGACGTTGCCGTGCTTAACTTATAAGATTAGATACACATAAATAATAGTAAATATAATAAAGAAAAAGACTCTAAATTAATGTGGATTGGACAGCCATTTTAAACAGAAACAAAAATAAAAAGGAAATCTTATTTTTGGCTCTGGAGTATTTCCAAAATCTTGACCTGTCTTGAGCCATTGCTCCATATCTTTATTAAATTTTGAGCAAATTGAAATAAATTCTATATCATTGGAAAGAGAATTAAATTCTCTATAAATTGTGTTTCATAGCTGAAATAGTTTTTGCGCAATTGAGCCTCAAAGTTGACTTAGTCCGAATTTTGTCAAAAACTCCAAACTCAATTTGGTCAAAAACTATAAACCTAGAAATATTGTAAATTACAGGCCAATTAGAGCCTAATAAGAGCTAAAAATTCAATGCAATTTACTCAATGTTTACCGAGCAATTGAGATTTAAATATTTTGAAATCAGAAATTAAAGGAGGTACCCTTATGGAAAACTCGATTTTTTTTTTTCACTTTTGGTCAATTTTGACTTTACCAATCGATAGATCGGGTCAAAATTAGTGATTTCCAAAAGACCATTTTAGGCTGAAAAAAAATTTAAAAAGGAAATCCTATTTTTGGCTCTGGAAAATTTTCAAAATCTGACATGTTTTGAGCAATTGCCCATAACTTTATTAAATTTTGAGCCAATTGAAATAAATTATATACCATTAGGAAAAGCATTAAATTTTCTATAAATTTGTGCAAAATTGAGTTTGATAGCTCAAATAGTTTTTGAGCAATTGAGCCTGGAAGTTTATTTTTAATCCAAATTTTGTCAAAAACTTTAAACTCAATTTACTCAAAAACTATAAACCTAGGAATATTATAAATTACAGGTCATTTAGAGCTTTATAAAAGTTACGAATGCAGAACATTTCAATGCAGCTTGCCCAACGGTTACCGAGCAATTGGAATTGAAGATTTTGAAACTAAAATTTACTTATCCCTTATAAAAAACTCGATTTTTTTATTTTTCACTTTTGCTCAATTTTGACTCTACCATTCGATAGAGCAGGTCAAAATTACTAGAAAACAACTCTGACATCATGTTAAAATGGACATTATATTCAGAAACAAAAATAAAATGGAAATCTTATTTTTGGCTGTGGAAAATTTTCCAAATATTGACATGTCTTGAGCAATTACCCATATCTTGAATAAATTTTGAACAAATTAAAATAAATTATGTACCATTGAAAAGAGCAATAAGTTCTCTATAAATTTGGCAAAATTTAGTCTAATAGCTCAAATAGTTTTTGAGCAATTGAGTCCAAATTTTGCCAAAAACTATAAACCTGGGAATATTATAAAAAACAGGGTTTTTAGAGCTTATCAAGGGCTATAAATGCTAAACATTTCATTGCAATTTATTCAACGGTTACTGAGCAATTGAGGTTTGAATATAATGAAATCACAATTCAAAGAAGGTATCCTTACGGAAAACTCAATTTTTTTATTTTTCAGTTTTGCTTACTTTTGACTTTACCAAAATACGCATGATAAAATTCAACAGGCATCTTCTAAACTTAAAATGAAGCCTGACATTGAAACAAAATCACAGAAAACCAGATGAGACATTCAATTGCCGAAAAAAAATGTGCTACATTGAAGACACCCAAAAAAGGCATTAAGTTAAAGTGTTGAAATAAGTCACATAGGTTTTAACAAACCGTCATCTGAAGTTGCAGAGCAATAGAGAGCAACAAATAAAAATAAAAGGAGCTTCAGGAAAGAATCAAGAGCTTCGAATATCAATATCAAGGAAGGCTCCTAAAGAAGCATTCTCTACTCCTAAAAAATAAATCAATGAAGAAGAGTTCTGAGAAGGTTCGTTTCTTCACAGAAGTAAGTAAGTAAAGTCTTTTTAAAGAACTAGAATTGAATTTTGATTAATAATTTTCGAATATCAAAATAATTTGTTTGTTGATTTTCTTCTGAAGCTTCTGGGTTATGGTTCTTGAAATTCACAATCAATAGTAGTATAGAAATAGAAGATTACGTTCAACAATGTTTCAAAGAATTTCATTTTGTTCTAAATAAGCGTTGAATTAAAAAATCTTCTGAAGCTTATCAAAGTTTCCAAGTTTCTCTCAACATGTTTATAAATATTTAAAATTTGCAATAACAGCGATCTAACATGTTTCTAGAAGGCATTCTCAAAATAGTCTAGAACGTTCTTTGATACCAATATAAAATTTCGAAATGGTTCTTAAAGTATAAAGTATAACTGATTTCTTACCAATTGTAGCTCTGCTAGCGCAATAATGGTACATTTTCCAAGCCGGATCTCCCTCTTTATAGAAAGCACCGTGCGGGTTCACTTGTTGAGCGTATTTGGAACCACTCAAACTAGCCCCTTGCGTTAAAACAATATGCACATCAGCTGGTTTACCAGGGGTACCGTAAATAGTTATCGGCACAGAAGTTTGCGGTATCAAAACTGCTTGTTTATAGGTACCTGGCAGGATTCTTATGTACTTTCTTTTGGTACCTCCTGCCTAAATAATAACTCTATGATAATCATATGAAAATTGTATATGCGTTTGCTTACCTTTATGGCAGCATTTACAGCTGCCTGAATGGTACCGAAACCACCTTTGCCCACAGTGTAGTCGGCTTTGTTAGTTGATATTTTACCAGGAGTCCATCCTTGTAAATAAGCTTTTTTGGTGTAATGTGAAGCTTCAGCATCAGTTAATACTGGCCTGGTACTGGTACCGGGGGCTTTTTGATGGTTAGCAAATACGACAGCAACCAACAAGGCTAGCAGGATTTCGTACAGCATTTTTCTTCAGTGATTTTCAATTGGATAACTAAATATCATTTTCATCAGATTTCTTTTATATATACAAAGTTTCAAGTGGATTATTTTTGAATTAGATAAAAAAATACCGACTAACAAGGACACTTTTTTTTTTATAAATATCTAAATAGGTAATTTAAAAATTAGTTTATTATTTTCACTCAATTGGTTTGCAACTTAATAAAGGTTACATTAATTATGTTTTATAAAAAAAAATCCAGATTTTGTCCAAAGATCAATGATAATAATCTAATATCTCTAGAAATGATTATTGTTTGCTTAAAATAGGACTTTGATTCATAATAGTTTTGTACATAAAAATTGTAAAATATTTTAATTTTTAGTAGATTCTGGAAAACTTTTTCTGGCTGACAAAAAAATTTCTGGAAATTTTCAAATTCTCTTGGACCTTCTCTAGTATCTTTTAGGTTTTCTTGGTTCTCTAGCTACTTGAAATAACCATGGAAAATCGCCGTATTTTTGCAAACTACATTTCCAGAAAAAAAAAAATTTTTAGCAATTTATCTTGAAATTTCAAATTTCTCTACATTGAAATTATGCCTTTTTATTCATATTGACGAGCAAAACAAGATTTTTGAATCCAAATATGAAAAATTATATAAGTCCCAATGAAGCAAAATTGCCAGGATCTGTAGTAGTGATTAGAAAGTTGTAGTTTGGAGTATTCGACACAATAATTCCAGTGTGATTTGGAAGAAAAAAAGTAACTTGAGAGTTTCTCAAAAGTTTTATAACTGTAAAATGACTTACTTTGGAAGTTGATTCAGACACTTTTTAACTTATTAATGCAAGTATTTCTCAATTTGTAGAGTTCAGAATCTTTCTAAGTAAGTTCAGATGCTTTGAAAGTTGCCTCAAATGCTTCAAAAGCAATTCAGGGCACTTTGCAAATAGAAGGACTTTCGAAATCTGGGAGTATTGGAATCTACGTCAACGGATACCATTAAATCCGAGCTAGAAAACCTGGGGTACCACCCGGTCGCCGTCACCAGGTGGTACTGGAAGACCGGGGCAAAAAAGGGGCGCCCCATGCGTTGCGTCCTAGTGCTCTTACCCAGAACCGAGAAGGACATTTACGACAATATTGTGACCCTAAACGGAATGACAATCCGTTTAGAAGCACAAAAAACGAAGGACCAATCAGGGCAGTGCCATAACTGCCAATTATACGGACACGTCTCTTTTAACTGTAAAGCTGACTCTAAATGCGTAAAGTGCGCCGGTGACCACAAAACCGAGAGCTGCACTAAAACGCCAGAAGAAGCCCCCAAATGTGCCAACTGTGAGTGGGCCCATCCGGCCTCATGGGAAGGCTGCCCAAGCCATCCCAAACACAAGCGACCAGCCCAGAGGAGACCCTTTTCCTGAGCCGTAATAACCAGAGCAGCCACGACATTGACATTGTACTGCTCCAGGAAACCTTCCTGAAGCACCGACACACGTTCAATGTCCCAAACCACTTCACCGCACAGATGCGCCAGGTGGAGGCACAGCCATTCTAGTGAAGAGAAAAAACAAACAATAACATCAGATCCAGTCGGCTCAATCCGTTAAAATTGAGTCGACCGCAATCCAGATAAAAATACACCCGCAGAAGAAAGTCAACATCTTCTCGGTGTACATCAAACCAAAAGAGATCCTCGAAGAAGCAGACGTAGGAGTCCTATTTCCAGATGACACAGCAGTCATCGCAGGAAGTGACTTCAACGCGAAGCACTTCCTATGGGGCAACCTGATAACCAACTTCAAAGGCAGAACCATCGACAACGCCGCGGCAAGATACCTATACAATCTCTTGCCGCCAGAAGGCCCTCCCAAGTAACATTTTTTCCGTCTGCCAACGTTATCTGCACCTATTCCAACGTCAGAATAGGTTCATATATTAGTCGTACTACGACTTCACAGCTTGAGTCGCAGTACAACGTCGGCACAACGATGCTTCGTCCACGCAAGCCTCCTACAAAAAATTAAAGTAGATAACGATTAATTTGCAAACGTTGGCGTGACGTCCTTTCTCGACTAAAATATTGAGTTATCTTTGAACGTCGCTACAACGTCGCCTTATGACCTATTATGGCTAGGTAAGCTTTGGTATAGTAGGCGACGTTGGTCGAACGTTTGTCATTCGACTAAATTTAAATAGGCGGCACTAAGTTGGTTCGACGTCGGTAAATCTACCAAAATTGATTAAACTCTAACAATGTACACAAAATAACAAATGAACTAACTTTTTTTAAGAGTAATTTTAATTTTCGTAAATTTTAGTTACGAATTCCTTGTGAATTAGGTAGGTACCCATACGTAATTGAAAATAATGGAAAGAAAACGAAAACCAAATATTATTTGACACAATTAAAGCCTGAGTTCCATATCAACACGAGATTTACCAAAAACTCCTTTCCATTGGTCGTAATCGACATTAACTGTTAGTATTGATCAATAGAACCTTTATATAAATCAAATTAAGCTTTACCCGTCGTCCGCAAAAGGAAGGCTCGATGTCGCGATTATTTTTATGAACAGATTTCGTATAAAAGAATTCTACATATTACGACTAAAAGTCGCCGCAGGTGGAAACTAGGGATTATTTATCTGACCAAAGATTGGGCATAGTCAGTTTTGGTGCAATTTTCGTCGCTTTCGACATCAGCTGTTTCGGGCGTTCAGCCATTATTGGGTTCGACCAAAACTGTTGATATGTGAGATTAATTTTAATTTTAAAGTGGATATGTGCAAGATTCGTCCTTCATAAGTGTGTTTTTCACAATTTCTCTTCAGATAAAATCTTCACAAGTATCTCTGAACCCATATTAAACAAAAAATTAAAATTTGAAAATTAAACAATTGATATTTTTCTGAATTTTGCTGATTTTTGGGGAGGCGGTTGTGTTTTTAGTCCTACTTTAGTTATTTTCATCAATAAAGTCACCTGCGTTTATGAATTTTGACCAGAGGAACTTTTGAACCTAGATTATATTACAACAAAATAAAAAAGTTGACGTCATTTTGTGTAATATGTTTTTAAATTACCTAATATATCCACATTTGGTAGATAATAGGGTAAAATCTTTTAATTAATTTTCAAATAGTATAGTTTAGGTATAAATAATTAGATCTTCCCGACTTTTCAAGTCGGAAATGGTATAGCATTCCCAACGTCAAATTACGTAGTGTTTAGGTCCGCTTAAGGACTCAAAGTCGGATTCCGACGTCGAATCGACCGAAATTTCATTCCCCATTTTAGTCGAATTTTGGTCGTAAGGAAGTCCTACGGACGTCGCATGCCGACGTCAGGTAGAACATTTTTAACGTAATATTACATCAAATGACGTCGGATTGTTACTTGGGCTACCTACGTAGGGGACCGTGTTATCCAGCCTGACTTCCTGGACATCTTCCTGACCAGAGGAGTCCATCAACAACAAACACTGACAGTGAACCACGACCTGTTCACATCAGACCACCTGCCAATCATCCTGGAAGTTGGAAATCCAGCCCTGAAACACACCAGATTCAGGGACAAAACCTTCACAAACTGGATAGCCTTCACACAGAAGTTGGTTGCGTCAGAACGACAGGCCCCCATCGACAATCCAGCTTCTCTCGACCAAGCGGCTTTGAAGCACACAAATGACATTCGGGTAGCGCTCGATGAAGCGTCAATTACTAAAAGCTACCCAGCAGACAGATACCTCAGCATCCCCAGGGAACTCCGCAATAGGAACCGCGTCAAAAACCGCATCGTTCGCAGGTACACCACAACTGGGGATCCAGCCATGAAGAAAGAAGCGAGTCGATTGACATTAGGTATCCGACAAGCCATTCACGACATCTACAATGAGAACTGGCAGAACAAGCTAGAACAATTATCCATAGAAGATGGATCCATCTGGAAGATGGCCAGATCCTTAACCAAGGACCCAAGGAAACCTCTCCCGAACATTGTCCACAACAACGTGACAATAACGGATCCCTCGGCAATGCTCGACGCCTTCCAAGAACAATTCTCGATACACAGAGACCTGCCAGTTCCAAACCGAAATGAACTCAACCACATCAGCAGGATCGTCACACGCTTCATGCAAACACAACTTCCTCCAAACACTGACATACCACCCGTCACCAGTGCGGAGATCAGAGACCTGACATCCAGAGTCAATCCAAGAAAAGCTCCAGGACAGGACAGGATCAACAACATGATCCTGCGACGTCTTCCTGACATGCAAATCCTGGAGCTCACAAACATCGTGAATGGCACTTAAGAACTCAGCACTTCCCTACATCCTGGAAGAACACTGACGTCATACTGATCCACAAAGCCTATACAGCCTTGGACCAACCAAGCAACTACAGGCCAATCAGCCTGCTACCTCATCTCAGCAAGATAGCAGAGCGCATAGTCCTCAGAAGGCTCAACAACCATCTCGAGGAAAGAAACGTACTTCCTGAACAACAGTACGGTTTCAGAGCCAGGCGATCAGCAATACATCAAACAACCCGCCTAGCCAGGTTCATTAGAGACGGGTTCAACAAGAGGAAGGCAACAGGAGCACTCTCCTTCGACATATCCAAAGCTTTCGACAAGGTGTGGCACCTTGGACTTATATACAAGCTGCTACAGATTCAAACGACAGACTACCTCACCCGCATCATCCACTCGTTCATCACCAAACGAACGTTGCAGGTGAGGGTAAACGACAGCCACTCCAGAACAGTACCGATGACCGCAGGAGTCCCACAAGGCTCCGTGCTCGCTCCGACGCTGTTCAACATATACACACACGACATTCCACTCCCGGCTGAACCAGATATCCAGCTAGCCCAGTTGACACCGTCATCGTCGTCAAGAGCAGACAATCTAGACTGATCACCCTCAAACTCCAGAAATACACCAACACTCTGGAAACCTGGATGCAGAAGTGGAAAATGAAGCTGAACCCGAACAAGACTCAAGCTGTTCTGTTCAGACGTACACGTGCCAGACCTCATGGACACGTGAGACTATCAGGACACGACATCCCCTGGAGAAGTAACGCCAAATACCTTGGCCCTCACTTTGACCAAAGCCTCACCTGGAGACAACACATCATGATCACCAGAGCCAAGACAGATGCAACACTACGAAAACTCTTCCCTCTCATATCCGGGAGGAGGAGCAAGCTATCCATCCACAGCAAACTCCTGACGTACAAATCCATGCTCAGGCCAATCCTCACCTATGGATCCCCGACATGGTCAACCACGGCACCCACTCACTTGAAAAGACTGACTGCCTGCCAGAACAAAACTCTCCGTATCATCGCGCCCCATGGTACATGAGAAACACGACGCTTCATCGAGACTACGAACTAGAGACGCTACCTGAACACATCAAGAAGCTGAACACTAACTACTTCTTGATTGCCAGAGCTCACATCAGCCAGACCATCCCCCCCTCAACACGAGAGAGGCCACTACAGAGTTCCGAATGATGACTACCCACCATAACAGGCCTACTACTGCGTGCATCATCAGCCCTGGATTGAGCAGGGGTTGAGGATCATACGCAGCGGAAAGCCGCCCACGACTTCTCAAGCCTGAGAAGTCAAACAGGACGCCTACTGCCAAAGAGACAGCCTCCCAGCCTGGGAAGCCTATCAGAGGCAGGAAGCCATCCTTATAAGCCTACTGCAGCATGCCCCTCCCAGGAGGGACGCAAGCAGCAGGAAGCTAGCCAAACATAGGACGCTGAATGCCGGAGACAGTATTACGAGGCAAGAACGGGCACTACCACTTTGTTACCCGCAAAACGCGAGGGAGAAGTAAATAATGAAACTTGAAGGAAGTGAGACAGAGAATGGGTAACTAAAACAGAAAGAATAGAAAGAAAGGGTTGGTTGGTGGCTGAAATCTAAAAACGTGATTTCGTGTAAAGGGTTGCCGACTAGCTTCCAATGCGGAGAGGGGTGTGTGTTAATTAAATAACTAAATATAGAGCGCCACCTGCTTGCTACAATCAGGTACGGGTTTTTAATTAGCACCAGAACAGAATAGGTCTGACTCCAGATCAGGTTCGAAGAAGAAAAGAAATCGCCTAGAAACTAGAAGTACCTAACCTTATATACTCTAAAAATAGTACTTACAATAAATTAAGCAATAATACCTGAAATATAAATAATTAATGGACTAGCTCACTAAATGCAGTACCTTCGTAAATGGCCATTTAACCCCAGTGTACAAGTATTTACCAGTATTCAGTGCAGCATTAATCAAAGTTGAAGTAACAATACGTAACCTGAAGGGCTTTAATATTAGGCCTGTTCGCACAGCAATCACAAACCAGTCAGAGCGAATTTCATTGGTTGGAAACAGTCAGAAACAGTCAGAAAACTAGTTTCAACCAATGAAATTCGCTCTGACTGGTTGGTGATTTCTGTGCGAACAGGCCTATTATGTAACAATATAGGTAGTATAGATACCCAAATACCTAATAAAATTGAAGTACTTGACAATACATAACCTGAATGGTAAGTTTCATAAACAAAAAAAAAAAGGTAATATAGGGAATTAATTAGAAATTGAAATTGAAATAACTGCGTTGTTGTGGTGATTTACTCCAACAAGGGGTTGGTAAGGTTTGATATTACGACAATACAACACGCTTATCAAACCTGAGTAGTCCCTAAACTCTTGGGGAGAACCTGACAGGTGGGATCAATATCTTAGGGTGTCTCCAATGGCCTGGGACTGGATCAGGACCGCAACAAGAAGCAACCTGGCCCTGGGCACTGAAGTTCAATGACTAGAAGTCACTAAAACTTCCAATTGTCTAGAGGAGGCTGAAGATAGGAGGTAGGTACGACTTGAAGTATACAGTAAGCTTGACGTATAACTTATTACTCTAAGTAAGGACTAAAGCGTGAAGAATAAAGGTGACGTCTGAAGGTAAAGATTAAAGCGTAACTTCTAAAGGTGAAGATTAAAGGCCTGAAACAAATGGACGTTATGAGACAGGGCGTGGAGCAATAGGTAGGTATGTCCAATATTCGGAATTTAACCATATAATTAACAGAAAATTATGTTTTTACATAGGCAATAGAGAAACACAGAGAAGATTAATAAGAAAAACCACTTACCAAAATTACTTTGGCCTTTAGGAACAAACATTTGACCACGTTGCTCTTTTTCGACTCACAAAAAAAATCTGCACAAGGCGATTGGGTGCTAAAATAGCGGATTAGCCACCCTAGATCTATGAGCGAAACTTGGCAACTCAGAAATCGGCAAAATGTGCCTGAGGAGTTTTCCCGAACACTTAATCGTGGAAAGTCCTCGACCTGAATGACCTCTGCTTGTCCCTGTAATGTCCTTAAAAAAGGTTCTGTCAAAACTCCAAGGTGGAAGGTACTGGGGAATTTTGATGGTAGTTGGGGCATGGGATTTATTCAGATTAAGTTAGTACCGGTCATTGATCCTATTTGGAGCGCTGTCAATCTAGACAATCTACTCCGATCAGACAATCAGCTGTTCTAATGTAAATATTGTGATTTTGTTTGTTAATAAATTAATTGTCTATTTATTTTAACCCTACTAACAGGAAATGAATCCCATTAATAAACCTCTAACTTAATGATTCTGGGAAGAATGAAACGTTTGATGAAAAGTTTGGCCACAACTATTGAAAAGACAACAGTGGCTTGACGAAGGTATGCTATTCATTGAGGCGAATACGCTTATTTCCTTTCATTTCAACCAAGGAAAAATCATCCCGTAACAACAGCTTCCTCCGCCTGGGGAGATAGTCCGACGCAGGAAGTCAGCCTTCCAAGCCTACTGCAGCGTGCCCCTCCGACTGAGGGACGCACGCAGCAGGAAGCTAGTCAAACACAGGACGCTGAATGCCGGAAACAGCTTCCCCCGCCTGGGGAGGTAGTCCAACGCTGGAAGCCCTCACCTAATTCTGTCGAAGCAGAAGCCATCCAGGACCAGGAGCTCCCGACGAGGACCAGGACCACGACCATTTAATTTTAAGTATAGGTTTAGAAAAGTTTTTTCAAGACAACTTGTCCGTTTTATTTTACTTATTTTTAGTTAAAATATCTTAAGGTGCACATCATGTTAGTTTAGCTTTTAGGTTTTATCTTTTAAGAATATGATTGTCATTAACATTATGCATAAAAATTCTTTGTAAATTATTGTAATAAACATGAGTTCTAAAGTAGTTGCAACTAGTATTCAAATATTTCTAGAACTGTAGAATCTTTGACTTATTTTGGAAGTTGATTTAGACGCAACTCATTTTGAACTTATTAAAGCAAGTATTTTTCAATTTGTAAATTTCAGAATTTTTCTAAGGGCTTTTAGATGCTTTGACCAGTTGCCTCAGATGCTTCAAAAGCAACTCTTGGAACTATAGTTGTTGGATGGAAAACGTTGTTACTAGGTAGGTACCTACTTTACCAAAATTGTTAATTGGTGTGTAAAGGTTACAATATCCCAAAGTTTTTGCTATTAAATAAAACACAAAATACTTACATTTTATTTCAAATCTAAAATTTATTCGATAAATATACAGCAAAAATAAAAACGTTACACAATGTTGCCAAGAAGCGCTAAGTAAAGCATATCTGTTCACTTAAAAATGTAGACCACATAAAAATGGCCAGTGTAGATATATACAAAAAACAAAAAAAATAAACAATTTTCTCAGGTCGACCTTTATTATATATGAGTATTTCGTTCGAAGAATACCTTACGATTCATTTTCTCCTCTGGCGTCCGGAAGCCATAGCGATCTGAGTCTTAATTTCCCTCTGAGTTTCGTTATATTATTAATGGAATAATAATAATTATAGAAAAATACCTTTCAAAACAAAGCCTAAGATTAAAACTAAGGAGATAATTTGCGCAAATTGTCAATAATTAAAGCATCATTAATATTGGGGATATCCTCGTTTAAAAGTTAAGTGTAATGAATATACAAACAAAAGCTTCCCAAAGTAAGACTCAAGACAATTAATTGATGGTAAATTTGTCCAGGCCTGTGTCGTCTTCGTTTTACTTTGAAAAGCTTCAAATCAAACTGTTGTAGATCTTAAGCCATTGTCAAGGTACCAGCGCCCATACCAAAACCGACTCCTTTTGGTCCAAAGTTGCGTCCGTAGCATCCTCTACAGTAGATTTCACCGTTGGGACCGTCGTTTTGGTTGGTAGAGTCTAACGAACGGCTACAGTCGGCGCAGCTGAAGCATCTACAATGAAAAATCTTGTGTTATTTTAATCAGCCAATTAATTTTTTCAGGCTCAAGTCATTAACAAAGCCTCTGAATTTAAGTTTGTGTGTGAAAATATTAAAAATGAAAAAATTAAATTAGAATTTATTGAAACAGCAGATATTATTATAAGTGTTTTAATCCTTTGAGAAGCAGAATACAAGAAATTTGGCAGGGACGGAATGATTTGAGTAAGCTTAAGATTTTTGGGTGTCGAGCCTAGTTTACCATTCTACCCAAAGGTAAAGAGTTCAAGAAGATAAAATCCTGCTACCGCTGTGGTGAAAATTCACATTTAGCAAATAGCTGTGTTGAAATCAATCTAAACTCTAACAAATGTTATAGAAGAGGATACATTGCTAAAGTATGTATGAATTCTTTTTCTGTTTCGAGAAATTCATCCTCAACTTATAGAAATTAGAATTTTTGGAAAAAGAAAATGAAGATGAATTATATTAAGTACCTTAATGTACTTAATACAATATACTTATTTACCAGAAAATTTCAAAAAACCAAAGAAATATCTAGTAAAAGTAACTTTAGATGGAATCCAACTAAAAATGGAGTACCTGCGATACTGGAGCTACGGTATCTTCGATTTCATTTCATATCATATCCTACAGATATTAACAAAAACATTTTAAGAAGACATTATCCACTGAAAACCATGGAAGAAATTTCAGTACAAATACGTGGAGCCAAATATTTTACACTTTTAGATTGCAAACGAAGGTTTTTGCAAATAAAAGTTGCAGAGCAGTCTCAAAAATATCTCACGTTTTTAACACCATGGGGGCGTTATAGTTGCACTCGTCTACCATTTGGAATCTGTTCAGCACCAGAGGTATTTCAAGAAATAATGAGTTCCTTATTAAAAAACATTGCAAACACTCACTGCTCAATGGACCATATTCCTATTTATTCTGACTCCCAGGAAGATGTAGAAAAAATTACTAAAAAAGTAATGGAAACATTGGAAAACTCTGGAGTGAAGCTCAATAAGATAAAATGCATTTTCAATGTTAAAAGAGTTAAGTTTCTTGGGCATATTTTATCGGAAAATGGTATTGAAATTGATGATACCAAGGTGGAAGCTATCAAAAACTTAAAGACACCAACAAATATGACAGAACTGCAAAGGTTGCTAGGTATGATAACATATTTGAATAAATTCATACCAAATATGTCTGAGCTTACAGATCCTTTGCTAAAGCTTCTAAAAAGGGATGCTGAATTAATTTGGATGTGATAAATTTAAATTATTAATAAAGATTCTTAATAACAACAATACTTACCTCTTATGGAACATTCCACTCTTGCTAACCATCTGTTCAGCAGCGAAAACAGCATACCCGCACCGCTTGCAACCTTGTCCAGGAGCGCAACGTGGTCCACTATTAGGACGAGCATCGTGAATAATTGGAGCGACACCGTCGGACACCAAAGTCGGAGTGTGTCCGAACCCGAACCCTTTAGGTCCGAAAAGTTTGGCGTAGCAAGCGCGACAGTGGACTTCCTTGTCCGGACCGTCGCAAGCCAAAGTCGAGTCCAAAGGACGGTGGCATTCGGCACAGTTGAAGCACTTTTTGTGCCACATGGTGCCTTTGGCTAGTTGTTGTTCGGCTGCGAATACCATACCGCCGCAACGGGGACATCCTTGGCCGGGTGGCGCTTTGATAGACGTGGTGTCTGGGTTGTAGAATGGACGAGATTTGGATATTTCTTCTTCGCTGTAAAGAATTATTGTTGAATAATGGAATAGAAAATTCATAGTCTTCAACCCAATATAACGAAGAAAATTCAATATTATGTTTGTTAAAATGATATGAACTACGCCAATGTGCCTCCGGCTCCGCCCAATGACACCATTCACCAATCCGGCATGATAATTTTCAAAATGGGTGGAACCCAAAAGACATTGACGTGGATTTTTTTAATATTACGTATTAATTATTATCAAACTAGTGTCGTAAGGTACCATTTGCTGTCAATTGAATAATATATTTTGCAATGTTAATAAATTGTTTAATTAGGAAAAATACCTATCGACTGAAAGATGAATATACAATTGGATGATCTTAACAGGAATCAAATCATTTTACTGCTGGAGCTTTTTGAAAATAACGCTGCAATGATCTTAAGATAAAATTGAAATATACCTACCTTTGGAAAAAAGAGCTAGGATTATGATTTAAAACAGGTAGATTCTATATTCAAATCTCATAAAAATGTTCATATCTTCCATGATATCTGAGCAAATTACATATAATTATTATTCATCATTGAAAAGAGTATAAGATTCTCTATACACAGTGGAACATTGGGTTTTCAAGCTTACAAAGTTTCCGAGATATTGAGCTTCAAAGTTGAAATTTAGTCGTCATTTGGTCCAGAAGTTTAAACTTTATATTCTCAAAAACCGTAAAAGCTAGCGATTTCAACCAAATACCATTTTGAAGCCCTTATCAAAAGCTACAATTCCTGAAAATTTTGTCCCAGTACCGCTTTTGGTTATCGAGCTATGTCAGTATGAAGATCTGCGATTTTTGCGAATTAAAATCGAAAGGGGATAACCTTAGAAGAGTGTGCAAAAAATTTTTATTTTTCAGTTTTCCTCAATTTTGACTTTGGAAATTGATAGAGCGAGTCCAAATTAGCCAGAAAAAACTTTAACATCAATTGAATTTGGAAATTTCAACGAAAAAGGAAATCTAAAAGGAAAACTCATTTTTGGCTCTGGACATTCTTTGGAATCGCGGCACGCTCATGAATAATTGCTTATATCTTCGATGAAATTTGAGAAAATTGCCTACAGTTGTACATCATTGGAAAGAGTATTAAATTCTCTACAAACCGTGTAAAATTCGTTAGTATAGATTCTAAAATCTTTGATATATTGAGCTCAAAAGTTGAAATTTAGTGGGCATTTTGCCCAAATCTTCAAAGTCGATTTTCTGAAAAACTACAAATGCTAGCGATTTCAGTTAAATGCCATTTTGAAGCCCTCATCGGGAGCTACAATTCCTAGAAATTTTGTCCCAGTACCACTCTTGGTTACCGAGCTATGTCAGTTTGAAGATTTGCGAATTAAGATCCAAAGGGGGTAGCATTAGAAAAAAGTGCAAAAAATTGAAAATTTTTATTTTTCAATTTTTCTTAATTTTGATTTTCTAAATTGATAAAGCGAGTCCAAATTAGGCAGAAACAATTTTAACAATGGTTAATTTAGAAAGTGAGAGTGAGATTGAGAGTTTTTTGACTGGATTTTTTTTGAAATCTTGACACGCTCACGATTAATTATTGCTCATGTCTCCTATAAAATTTGAGAAAATGCCCCACAATGATATCTTATTGTAAAGAGTATTAAATTCTCAATTAAGCTGTTCAAAATTGATTTGTGTAGTTTGTGGAGTTTCCAATATATTGAGCTTCAAATTTAAAATTTAGTCGTCATTTTGTCCAAAACTTTAAGCTCGATTTTCTCAAAAACCATAAGTGCTAGCGATTTCAGCTGTATACCATTTTGAAGCCCTTATCAAGACCTACAAAATCCTATTCCTTAAACAGGAGGTATTCCATTATCAGCTGAGCTATCTGCTCTAGGATCGCTAGGTGGGAGTGCTGCTGGATATAGCAAAATCAGTAAATAACATATAGGGACAAGAGAAAGAAAGCACAAAGAGAGGGTGACGAAAGCTAAACACGAAATCTAGTTCAAAATGGGCAATGAACTAGACAGAATCATGGGAAATACACGGACCAACAAAGCTTGGAAAATATTGAAATCTATGAGAACCCAAGGCAACGACAAAACAAATTTTAATAACAGAAATTGAAACTAAATCCTACGACGAAATTCCTAACATAAGAAAATTTTAAAACTGCAAATGTTCATCACCAACTCTTAGCAAGAGGCCAACTTGTGAACTTTAAAGCAAGAAGATTAAATCCGGAATAACTCTGGCAGCTGCTAAGAAAGAAATAATTTCTATTTTCAATTTTTTTTCGTTTGTGATATAATTTATAGTGAGTTACTGTTGAATATTCTTTATCAATAGTAATTAGAACTTACGATTTAGAGCAACCAAGAAGAATTATTCATATTTCTAAAACTTTACTTCTTATTACATATTTGCTGGATTATCTGCTCTAGGAGCTCTAGGTGGAGGTGCTGCTGCTATAGCAAAATTAGTAAATGACGCTAAAGCTACCAATAAAGATTTTTTGAAATCGCCAACAAGTTCATTTTGATTTCACATCCTGGTTCTAGTATAAGCGGTTCACTCAAAATATTGAGAAAAAGTAGCTTTTCTTGAAAGCATGTTATCTCGCATATACATTCTATAGGTCCATACAGTCGATTTTACCCGAAGCACACTAACATTTGATCTTGTGGATTCAAAATGGTGTCCTTTTTTTAAAAAAAAAATGCCTTAAAATGTATTTGTTGTTGCTTTCGGATAAAAAAAGCACTGTAAAACGAATGGAAGAAAAAAAAATTCTGTATGTTTTGTCCTTTGAACCCTAGGGTTAAAATTTTGTCTGAAAAGAACCATTTTGGTGCCGAATAAGTAGTATTATTACCATATTACCAATAATTCTCAATCCTGGTGAAATAAGGTAGGTATTTTCTAAAATGTGGTAGCATTGCCAGAAATTTGACACTCTTGTATCATGAAAATGCGCACTGTTGAAGTGGATTTTAGGACTTTGAAGAATAAAACGTGTGACACATTTAATGATGATATTTCTTTATTGAAAAGTTGTCACAATATAAAACAGCAGTGTCTATAGGATTGCCAAAATCAAACAACGCGTTCTAACTTTTAGTTTCAACATCCTCCCTCATTGAAAAAATGTTGGTCAATCCCATTGTGTCTCTTAAAAACTCAAGTCTTAGCTTGAACAATGGTTTTGTCATGAGAACCGCAAGTTGATTCTCATGATGATTGATTCTCATGATACATTTCCAATTATTGTATTATTAATGGTATAAGTAGGTAAATGGATTCCGACGTTCATGGAAACAGATAGATTTACATTTGGGGATATTAGTTGACAAGAAGTTAGATTCGCATCAGACAGCAAATCTGTCAAGATCAGACTGCAAGCCATGCAGTGCCAACCGTGCTAAAGAGTTTGAGGTCATCGGCTTATAGGAGGCATTGGGATGTTTTAAAACACAATAGTCAATAGAACATCGTTTATAAATAATGAAAAGAGCACAGGACTGATATGCGAACTCTGGGGGACGCCAGAGGTCACAAAGTACAGAACCATCATACACAGTAACAAGCTGCGGTAGGTAGGATTCAAACCTGACAGCCAGCTTCAACGGATGAAACAAGAAAATCCTGGTAAACTGCTAGGTAAGTACAGGCAAAACGATCCTAATAGAAACCATGTTGTTCAGGAATAATGTAGTTTTTATATGTGTAAAAAATTTCATCAGTAAGAATTATTGATTCAAAAAGTTTAGGTTAGGCAGAAGGAGAGAATGTGACCAGCATCCATCGATCTTTGGAAAAGTGCTCTCAATGGGTTTACAAGGGAGGACCAACAAGATTTTAACAATAAGGATGGAATGACATCAGAGCCTGGTTTGGATGATAACTTCTTGGTGATTTCCTCTGTGGTAAAAATATGGAAAGACAAAGTGGCAGAGACTTCCACAGAGCTATTGTTTGACAAGTCCACATCTTCGTGATTTGAATAACAGGACTTAAAGTGCGAGGCAAACGCATCAGCAATATCATTAGAATTAATGAGGTGTTGATTATTGTACGTACTACATTATGCTGGGCAGACCAGATAGTCTCTTCACGTATGACCAAAAATGTTTTCAAGAAAAAGATGCCCTACTCCAAAAATAAACGTTAAATAATAGTCCGGAACCTGACTTCCCGCCTTATGTTTGATTTGAAAAGACATTATAACCACTCTGCAAGCTAGATCTCTTAAAGTTGTTGATTATGTGCTCTAAGAGCACTAAGTGGAGGTGCTGCTGGTACAGCAAAACATTTCGGAAACAAGCTATCGGCACGAAATTTTGTTTAATTGTAGATATTGATTGAGGCTTCAAAAAAGGTTGTTTGGAGCACCGAGCTCTAGGGCTTTGTTTTCGAGTTAATCACCTCCGAAGGTTTTCCAAAATTTGAGACAAAGTTTCAACTTTGAGGCTCAATATCTCCAAAACTATTTGAGATAAATGATTCAATTTCACTTTATCTTAAAGAGCATTTAATTCTGATCAAGATCATATAAATTTGTATCAGAATTTGTCAATCCGGAACCTTACTTCCCATTATGTTTCATTTGAAAAGGTCTCATAAACACTCTGCAAGCTAGATCTCTTAAATTTTTTGTGCAATCTGTTTTTTTTTGACGATACGTTTACGGAGATGTTTGTCAAACCAACAGGGATACTTCTGACCTATAACAGTTTTTTTTTGGGACATAGATATCTTTACCATCGAGTAGGATCTCATAATATTTCTGGACGTCCAAAGTGGATCCCAAAAATGACCAGTCAGTTGAACCATAGAAATTATTTAATTCCGTAACGGTCGAAAAGAAAAAAAGTAAAGGTACTAATATTCGTTAATTTGAGAGTATAGTGAATGTCAAAGTAGTAGGTGGAAAGTGTCGTTCTTTAATAGTGGATCTGAACACAACAAAACAGTTCACTTCGCAAATTCATCAGCAAAGATCAAACCCAAAATTCCCTTATGGCAGTTTTTGTGAGGATTGATCTGCTGAAGTTCCAGAAGATAGTTGGAATCCAAAACCTTCTCAGCAGAAGTGGAATTCAGCTCTGAAGGGGCTAATGTATCATCCTCTACCACCAATGGATATTGGGGAGGTTGAAGTTACCACAAAGAATGAATTTATGATGAAAGGAATACATTTTTCAGAGATTGACAAGTAGGTATTACCGAACGATTGATAACATTCAACAGATGAATTTGGTGGAATATAAACGCAACAAATGATAATCTTAATATGATGAAAGAGCCCATATATGTATTATCTTGGGCTTAAGGACAACTGTAAAAGAAGATGTTGATTGTTCTTGTACAGAAGTTGTTTATGGCACAGCAAATCAAAGCTATAAGTGCTTCAGATCATAACAAGAGAAGCGTTTTCATCTACTTAGTAGATGCTCACATTAGAATAGACAGAATCAAGAAATCTTTGGAATGTTCTTTACAGTAGTCCATAGAAGCTTCTTGAATGATCTTAGAAGATTTCACTCTTCTCCTTAATGACAATCAAATATTGAATTTTCTCGCTATAAAAATAAAAAAAATTCTTACGTTAATCCATCGGTCTGCAAAAATCCACTACCACAAGCAAACCCGTAACCGTGAGGTCCCCATTTCTTGCCGTAGCAAGTCTTGCAGTAAACGTCGCGATCGGGACCGTCGCAAGCGATAATCGAATCCAGAGTCTTGGTGCAGTCGTGGCACTTGAAGCACTTGCGATGCCACGGACGTCCTTTGGCCAAAACTTCTTCAGCCGCAAATACGACACCTCCACAACGCGGACAACCTTGTCCCGGTGCCGCTTTGATACAAGCAGTATCGATGACTGTATTTCTTGGTGCTTGACCGCTACAAAATAGAAGTTAGTTTGTTCCATAATCCAATTGAAAACTGTTTACGTCTAGAACAATTTTCAACGAAAAACAATCAACAAGACAACAAACAACAATTAGACACTCAAAACAAAAATGCATTTAAATAGGTAGGTACCTCTGCCACTCAATATCCAAAGCATCTGACATAAGCCCTAGGAAACAGCCCCCTGCGTGTCCAATACCCCTCGGACCAAAGCGCTGAGCATAGCAAGCTACATATAAAACAGTTTTAGATTTTAGTTGCTACTTAAATACTAATTTAGCTGCTAATTTGGTTTACAAGAGAATGTTGATAAAAGAAAATAAAACAAAACGCAACAATTAAGCACATTGTGATTTAATTACCTGACTGAGAAAGTGTCGCTTTGCAAAGTACCGCCTCCTTGGCCGTAACCGTAACCTTTCGGACCGAAGTTCTTTCCGTAACACACTGTATAATTCAGACACAAAATCAACAATTAAAAATAATAATTTTTGGCAGAATTTGTCCACAAACTATGTTTTCAGTAAAGGGAAAAATGTTATTGGCAACAGAGCTGGACAGTTTCAAAGTTCAAAACTTCAACTTTGGTCGTGGATATTTGATAAATGAGTTATAACATTCTTTGGTACCATCTTAGTAAGCACATCTATGACATTTGCGTAAAGTTTATATAAATTTGAAATAATTTTCTTCTTTATCAATAATTAAAAATTTGGATGTAGAGCAACCATTATTTGCTAGACTATCTGCTCTAAGAGCACTAGGTGGAGGTGCTGCTGGAATAGCAAAATATTTTGGAAACAAGGTATCAGTACGAAATTGTGTCTATTTGTAGATCTCAACTAGGGCTTCTAAAAAGGTTATTTGGGGCACCGAGCCCTAGGGCTTCGTTTTCGAGATAATCGGCTTTGAAAATATTCTAAACTTTGAGACAAAGTATCAACTTTGAGGCTCAATATCTCAAAAACTATTTGAGATAAATGATTCAATTTTATTCTATCTTGAAGAGCGTTTAATTCTAATTAAGAATATATAAATATGCATCAGAATCTGTAGAATATCAACCGCTAGGGCTGCGTTTTGAAGATAATCGGCTTTAAAATTCAAAATTTGAGACAAAGTTTCAACTTAAAGGCTTAATATCTCAAAAACTATTTTAGATAATTGATTCAATTTTGTTTTATCTTGAAGAGCATTTAATTTTGATTGAGAATATATGAAACATGCATCAGAAAATTGTGGAATATTAATTGAGTTATGGACGATTTTGTGAGGCAATGTCACAAAACTTTGTTACATAAGATAGTGCAATGTACATAAATCAATGTGATATTTAATTTTATATCTACTTTAACATGACATTATACGCGTTACATTCGAGTTAAATTTTACCTTATTTTGACTGAAAAAAACTTAGAATTTAATAATTAGGTAAAGTAATTACCTACGTAAATTTCTACCTGAACTTTATGTAGTTGTGTTTACTGAGATTTAAGGTAACTGTACTCAATTTGAGCTCTATAAACAACATCCCCTTTTTCAAATTTCAGTCTTTGGTGGTCCATATGTATCATACTCTAACTTAAAAATCTATTTTGCTTCAAGAGATTTCGTGTTTTTGAATAAAATTCTGGTTTGGTTTTGTCCAACTTCTTCCTACACAACTCCCATTCATTTATAATTTCCATTTATTCCAGAAGATTTCTGTTCCAACAATCTCCATTTTCATATTCTTTCCGAGTTTCTTGATTGCGCTATACATGTTCTACATCCCAGACAAAGTCTTGAAGACGTCCTTTTAAGGTCTGCATCACGTATGAAGCAACAATAAAAGACGTCTTCAAGACATCTCGTTGAATATCTTAGAAAAATTTCCTGAAGACGTTTTGTAACATACGATGTTTTTAAGATGTCTTTGTGCTGTCTGGGATCATCAATATCTTCTCATACGAGTTTCCGATACTCTTGATTTCCTCGTCAAATTCAACCTGAGTATGATGTTATATTTGGCTTGTCAATGTTAGAATATAAGTTCTGATTCACTCTTTATCTTCTCTCTCTCAAAACCAGCATTTTCTATTTTTCGGTATGTTGTTTTTAATTGCAAAAGTTTTTGCAGCTCACGAGAAAATCTCGTCTCATTGAGATACCAAGAAGAACATAGGAAATTTCATTGAAGTACTTACAATTTTCTTCAATAGGTAAGTGAAAGAAGGCCTTAGAACACAAAATGTGTCAAAAAGTCATCAGAAACTACTCAGACATGCAGGATCTTTGATCAGAAGTTGGTAATTGGCAATACCAAACTGGGTGAAGACAACCAAATAATGGTTGGGGATCAACTTCTTACAGGACACCAACATTCCTTGAAAAGGGGGCCCAGATTTACTCTGAGATGCAGAACAGCATGGTCTCAATTTTGTCAATTTTCACTCGGATAAGTGCAGTCACGGATTTTTTGTTTTGCCCAAGGTTCCTGAATGAATTAAGGGAATATAAGGACTCATTCATCAGAGATAAAAAGGGATTTACATACCTGAACTGCCAAAATTTTCACAAAAATCAGCAATCGGTTGATTTTCCAAGAAACTTTCTACTAGACACGATCAATCACTCTAGTCAATTTACAAAACTATGGGCTTGATGGCCAAAAACAAAGACAAAGTTTTAAGATTTTTAGGATTCTAAGAATCTGGACGACCGATTCGGTCTCAAGACAAAATAGAAAAGACCCAGTCAAAGTAGCCAAATTGGTGCTGTCTTTTCTTTTCTTCGACTGTTAAGCTCAAAACATTGAAAGCCAGAGCAGCAACTAAGTGTTTTGGAAATCTCGACTATGAGAAACGAAGAAGCACATCTCATTGAAATACAATTTTGTTCAATAAGTAATAGAAGGCCTCAGAACACAAAATGTGTCAATGAAGTCATCAAAAACTACTTAGACATTCAAAATCTTCGATCAGAAGTTGGTCATTGACGATGAAGATCAGATCAAGCTCGAAACATTGAAAGCCAAAGCAGCAACCAAGTGTTTTGGAATGTTTTTAATTGCTTATGGAAGCTCTAAAGTGTTCTAACATGGCTTGAAGAGTTTTGGAGCAAGTTTTTTTAGTCTGTAGCATTCTAAATGGTTTTCATTAACTGTGGGAAGTATTTGAAGACATCTTAAAAATGTCTCTAAGATATCCACAAACGACATTTTAGAGGTCTGCTTACGTGTTCCATTAGTTGCTGGACTATCTGCTTTAGGAGCGCTAGGTGGGGGTGCTGCTGGTATAGCAAAATTAGTAAATAAAATCTTGACACGCTGATGAACAATTGCTCATGTCTTCTATGACATTCGAGAAAATTAGAACAAGAGTATTAAATTCTCTATATGCCATGTGAAATTGGTTTTCGAGATATTGAAGCTTCAAGGTTGTTGAGAAGTAGTCGGATATAATTATTAATTGGGACTAAACATTTTTGTGAGACGTTACTCTTCACTACTTCATGGTTTCATCTGAGAAAGTAAAATCTAAAATGTATTCAATTTTGGACAATTTAGACTTATTTCTTCATAGGCTCAGGGCTCGTTCAATCAAACTGTATACTGTCCAGCTCTGGTACAATTTCTTGTGACAGAGATTATAAAGATCCTTACTTTATGTACAACAAGTTAGGGAAAACTTGAGCAAAAAAAAAAAAAAAAACTAAAACTCTACATACCTTTGCAATAAATCTCTTTATCGGGACCCTCGGTAACGTTGACGGAATCTAATCCTTTGTTGCAATCGCCGCATTTGAAGCAAGTTTTGTGGAACGCCTTTAAAAAATACGCAAAATCTCAAAATTCTATACACAACGGAAATATATACAAGGCGGACGTTACAAAACGCGACAAAAAAAGAAAAAAAGTCACGCATGCTTGGGAAAAAAAAAAATAGGGACAAAAATGTTTGGCGTACCGTTACAATAAACACAACCATCGGGACCGTCACAGTGTGACGTCGAATCCAACCAGCGGTCGCAGTTTCCGCAACGGAAACATATTTTGTGCCAACCCTGTATATATTATTTTTGAATTAGTTTATTCAAGTATTTTTAAACCTCAAACAATGTTTTTCATTATAATTTTTAACTTCTTAATCAAAAATGTATTTCATTATTCTGGTATTTACTTAAGGAATTATTCTCTGAGAAGAGAGCAAAGTGGGACTCAAAATATAATACAGGGTGTCCCAATAGAAAGTGACCTATTTGAAATGCTTATAACTTAGATAGGTATGCAATACGCATATAAGCATTTAAAATAAGTAGATTAGATTCAAAAAGAACTATTATTTCGCTAGTATGGGGCCTTACTGTATAATCAATTTACTTGATATGTGTTTTCTTTCAAACAAATCTTCTATATTATGAAACCTTATATTCAAAATAATAAGTGCGTAAATATCTATAATATTTCGACATCGGAAAATTCATGTTGAAAATTACAATTTGTTTAATGTAAAAATAAACTTGTTACTCATTTAACAAGGTTTAAGTAATGATGGCTACTAAAAATATTTAAAATTTACTTTGGATTTGGTCCAAATTTAAATTATTACCGGCTCTTGATTATGATAAATATTATGAACGACTTATTTGAAGGTTTCTACAATTAATCTCAGTTTGATCTTTTTCATTGTGAGGCATCACCTGTGATGTTTGAGGCTCTACATACGACCTTAGTTTGAAGATTTTTCATTTTGAAGCTCATATGTTTGTGAGTTTGTGAGGCTTTACATTTCATATCTGTTTGGTATTTTTCATTGTGAAGCTTCAACTTTGATGTTTGAGGATTTACATTTCACATTTGTTCAAGATTGATGATGATTTTGAAGATTTCACTCTGGTTTATGAGGGTCTAGTCATACTTTTTTTCGAGCCTCAAATAATAAATTTCTATTTGGAAGCAAATACTTATTGGGGGAATATGGAACATTCTAAAATCTTTACTTAAAAGAAAGTATTTATTAGGAATTATTATACCGGGTGTCCTACCGAAAACTGTCAATGGCGTATACCTTGAAAACAATAATCGATTAAAAAAAAAAACAAAAAACCCATTTGGAGGGTTGGAGGGGTGAACCCTGAAAGTAAACCAAAAAAAGGTACTTTTCAGCTCTCCCCAAAAAATAAAAAATGCCGAACTTCTGCAGCTAGGAAAGATCGACATTCAAGAGTACAGAGCATCATCACACATTTTGAAAAATGCAGTCTATGTTAATCTACCTTTCATTGCAGATCTGTTACTTCAGCAATTGATTATGTCATCTTCTTCCAGTGAAACTCATCTTGCGGAAGTAATGGAATATGAACTGTGCTCCTTTCCACCTGCGTTATTTGAAAGTCCAACAGTATTCTTGAAAGCAGACAAGCCAAAGTTATCAAAGGCATTGATTGCGCATGTTACTTAAAATAATTCTCAGCCATTTGCAACAGCGGGAGAAGGTGAATCATGTTATGGAGAGTCCTTACTGCATCATCTGCCATGGCGTAATGACAGTACATACAGGAATATAGCAAGATGTTATGCTCCGTTTGTAACAGCTAATTATGGGCAAGCAACTGTTGTTTTTGATGGCTATACATCAGAATACACAATAAAAGACATGACCCATAATCGCGGAACAAATAGAAATAGAATTTTTCTCCTCCGTGAACTTCACACCAGATATGACATTTACAGGAAGTAAAGAAAGGTTTCTTACTAATAAGGAATACAAACAGAAAATAATTATTTTAATCGCTGAAGAAATACGATAACATAGATGTTCAGTAATTCATGCAGTTGATCAGAGCTGTCAGTACTTCAAGTAAATTACTTGGAAAATGTATTTCAATCACTTTTTAGTATTTGAAGTATTATAATTCAAATACTTTTGTTTTTGGATATTTGTACTTGAATCTGCAAATACTTTTAATAAAGTATTTGTTTTTGGTACTTGGATTTACAAAAAAAGTAATTCAAATACTGGGCATTTGTTGCCGTAAGAATGGTTTGGAATGTACCAGTTCAAGTGGTCAGTGTCAAACCAACGCCAGCTCAAAATTCTCCTCCCCCAAGGGACACAGCAGCTTTGTTCAAGACTACGACCCTAACTATGAGTTATGCTCCAAAAATTAAATTGAACAGCAACAATACTAATACAATACCCCCTCAACAACCAAATTTGACAAATAACTTCATTTTTAAGTCTCTTGACTCTTTCAGAGCAAGAGATCTCAGATGAACTAAACAAACTGGCTGAGATGATTAATAATCATCCTAGCCTCAAACTCCTGACATAACTTAACTAGACTTAGGGCCGGTATTATAAAGCTGGTGATCCGAAAGTTGAGTTTTAACCAGTAGTTGAACTGAAATGTCCTTATACAACATACGCAAATGTCAGTTCGACCGCTGGTTGAAACTCAACCTCCGGTTCACCAGCTTTATAATACTGGCCCTTTGGGTGATACACCTAAACCGACGAGACTTTACATAAACTCTTGGAATGCAAACTCTATCTTTCCCACACACAATTTACAAAATACAAAACTATACTATATACAGAAATGACGGACCCTTTGAATATAAAACCACAGGAAGGAGCATTTTCTATCTGTCACTACACTCACTACAGACAACGCAGAGACGGAAACGGCCATATTAAGCCTTCAAGTATGACTCATCATTTGTTTTGGTGGTTCGCTGTGTCCTCATTCATGTTTAATGGATTTTAGCGGTTTTAAGTCATAATAAGCACTGGGATTAGTGCGGAAAGAGTGAGTTATAATATTGAAAATCATATTTAGGTAAATAGATATACGCCACTGCCAAACCGGAAACACTAGTCGGCCATATGCAACCTCCACATATTCTGGTCGCGCAGATTCGAGGTTATGCTCCTTCTTGTAGTTTTATATTCAAAGGACCGACCTAGCCGTGCTGGTGGTGGTACTGTCATTTTCGTTAAAACCAATATCCCTCATGACACTATTCCCACTTCTGCCTCTGACAATGTGGAATGCACTGATATGGTCATAGGACTCACAGGAAGGGACATGCAACAAGGCATGCTCTTGCAGAAAACTTGGATTAAAATGTTCTGCAAAATAAGTCAATGCTCAGGAATGATTTGCTGGAATTCGTGCATCGTATATGAAAATGATGAAGATGATATTACTTATAATTGAAAGTAGTAGGTACCTATTCTTTTGTGAAACTGGAAAAAGTCAGTAATTATTCAAATACATGTTGCTGATACATCCCAACAAATGTAAATTTGCATTTTAAGTAAAAAATATCCCTACACTTTTCCTCATAAACCTGATAGTTTTTGAGATATTTGCAATAAAATGTAAAAAACAAAATGGCGGCCGTTTTTTTTCAACTTGCCAGAGACATAATCCATGGGACTTTTAGTATGTTGTTTAGAACGTTACTCCTCGTACATTTTTGTTAAGAAATGCTTGTATAGAATTTTTTCAGGTTCAACATCTAACTTGCCTACACTAATAGCGTAGAGTGCAATCGCACTAACGCTCTATAAACACAAGACAACAGCAACAACAAGAGAGGACCTAGGTCCTCGAAACATGCAAAACAAATTTTTGAATTTCTATTTAGAAGAAAGTACTTACTTAGGTATTAGAGAAATTAATATGAAACATCCTAAAATCTGTGATGTATTTATTAGGAATTATTATGTAGAACTTCAAGGGAAGAAGTTTTAAAGAAGTTTATGGGAATTCGAAAAACTTCAACTGGAAAAAGATGTTTGTTTTTGATATTTAAATTTCAAAATAAGCATTAGAAAATCTAAATCCTTGTTTAAAGAAAGTATTATGGAAGTTCTAAGGAAGTTGATGGAGAAACTTTAACAAATAATTAGAGTAGGTATCTATAATATGCAAAATTTGGGTAATAGTGGAAAAACAATTACCGCACTATGTATAGTAAAACACAAATTAAATGATTTATTTAACATTAAAAATAACAATTTATCATTTTATAACAATTTAAAATACCAATCGGAATACGCCTATAATAATAGACACTTTTAAGCAAGTCCTGAATTTCAAACGTATCCGTATCCGTATAATGCTATAAGCATTCCAAGACAACTCAAACATTGAAAAGTATATTGAAGCTGAACGAGCTATTCCCCTCTCCAAATTACAACCAAGAAAAAAGAAAAAAAAAAAAAATACTTCTTTGCAATTCTGTGAGTCTCTTAACAGCCCCACTGCCTGACAATATAAAGCCCTTCTGCTCGCGGAATGGACGAAACTACTTATAAAATGTTGGATTGCCTCCCAGATATAGCAAAGAAACTCCTATTAAGAACTTATAATAATTTCCTCTCAGGAAACGCAATTCCACAATCTTGGAAAAACTACCATATTATCCCGATCCTAAAATCAAATAAAAACCCCTCAAATGTGGAGAACTATACTGCCGTGCTAAGCATAAAGGGCGTATCTGACATTTTTGTAAAAATTGAGTTATCGTATCTGCGAGGACGTGCAACCACTTTCTCGGCCTTGGTACTATGATAAATAGTCGTACCTGCATTTTTAAAAGAGAAAATCGTATCTTAAATAAGTCGTATATGCAATAAAACTAATTTTACTACATAGAAAAGTCGTATAAGTATTTACTAAAGGCAAGAGCCGTATCTGCAAATTTTATCATAGATACGACTTTTTATTGTAGTAATGGGATCTTGTTATTAAGGGAATTACGATAATCGAAGGTCTTATATGCTTTCTTGAGTGTATATATGACTTTTTATGTTAGTACAAAGAGCAATTTACACTCAAGACTGTTTAGCAAATTAGATGGTGAACATAACCTCACACTTCTCTGTGTTATTAGTGATAGAAATGTGAACAGTGATACTGTGATTGTTGAGAAAAAGTGCCAGAACAGGTGGATATTTCTATTTCTGTATTAGAATATTATTTATAACTGGTTGTTTTTCACAGATATGAATAAAAAATTGGTGGGTTGTAGTGGTAGTAGTAGGTCTTGGCGTATTTTACAACTGGCTTTAAGCACTAATGAGAATGTTGAAATCAAAGATTTCAATATAAGTGATGATGATGATTCAGTGAAAGATTTAACATATATTCCAACTGAAACTGATTTAGAGAGTGATTCTGATGAAGAACTACAACATGATGAGAGATTTAATGCACCAAATGTGTCTTTGAAACCAAGTTTACAACCTTTTCAAGACAAAAACGATGAAAGTGACGATAATTTACCCCTGTCTGTGATTAAAGAAAAGGATATAATCAGAACTATTTTAACGGAAGTTGTAGAAAAAGTAGTAGGCGTAGAACGACAACTAAATTTCACAAAAAAAGGAGCTGTAAGAAAACGAAAAAGGTATGATATACCCCTTAAAGATAGGAAGAAAATGAAACTTATAAAGATCGTTGATAAGCATGATTTAAAAGAAAACTGCAACGAAAACTGCAAGAAATTATGCCAAAAAAACATAAACAGGGACAGACAAAAATACATTAACACAGAGTACTGGAAATTAAATAAGCAGGAACAAAAAAGTTTTATATTTAGTAAAGTTGAAAAAACGGCATGTAAAAGGAGAACTACTACACCTAATGTTGGGACTGCAGAAGGTTCGAGAAGAAATTTTACTTTAAAATATTTCTTAGCAGATCAAGAAGGAAAGAACCATGCAGTTTGTAAGAAATTTTTTTTGGCCACAGTTGGCTATGATCTCAAGAATGATAAACTTTTGAGGCACATATGTGAAGACACTTCATCCCTTAAACCAAAAATCGATAACCGTGGACAATTTAAAAGAGCAAATAAAGTTAATACAGATATTATAAGAGACCATATCCAGACTTTTAACCCAAGCATTCATCATTATCGGAGAGAACACGCCCCTCTAAGATTATATCTGCCAACTGATATTAATATAAAAATGATGTATGACGATTTCAAATTAAAACATGGGATGAACATATCATATGAATTATATCGCAAAGAGGTTGCAGCAATGAACATTTCATTTACTAAACTAGGACATGAAGAATGTTTCGCTTGTGAAACGTTTTCTTTGCATTCTAAAGCCACAGGACATACCAAAGAAACCGCAGAAGACACTTGTCAAGAATGTACAACATGGAAAGAGCCCCAACAAAAATATCGGGAAGCACGTAAAGAGTACGCAAAGGATGGCGCTAAAGAGGATGAATTATGTTTCTCTGCAGACCTACAAAAGGTGAAATTTTATCAATTAGTGCCCTTTTTAAGTTTTTATTTTTTTTCCTTATTTCAGGTCATTATGCTTCCAAGGTGTGACATGTTTAAAGAAGTCATATTTATCCCCCGAATAATTGTTTTTAATGAAACGTTCGTACCAGTTGGAAAAAAGACATCAGGACCAGAAAATTATCCCTATGCTTTTGTTTGGCACGAAGCAATTTCTGGCCGCAGCAAAGATGACCTTGTATCAATTTTTTATAACTTTCTCTTATGTTTAAGAGATGCGAAGCACATCACAGTTTGGTTAGATAACTGTGCTGCTCAGAACAAAAATTGGTCACTTTTTTCATTTTTCGTTTATATTATCAATTCGAGCTTGCTTAATCTACAAACTTTAGACATAAAGTATTTCCAAAGTGGCCATACATTCATGTCAAGTGATTCTTTTCATCACCAAATTGAACTAAGCCTGAAAAAACGAAAGAAAGTATACGATTTTCAGGATTTCTTGGACTGCGTAAAATCCTCTAATTCTAAAAAAGTTAATCTTAAGGAGGTTAAGCTGGATGGTTTTTATACTTTCACAGATTACACATCTCAGCAAACTTTGAAAAAAATTGTGCCTAGACCTTATCTTAGTGATATGGTATTTGTTCGCTTCAACAAAGGAGAAAAACATCTCCAATATAAAACTTCATTTCATGGAGATTTTATAGATTTGAAGTTTTTAATGGCAAAATATTATAAATGTTCCACTTTACCTGGCCCGGCGGTAAAAGAAAAGGAAAGAGGAATCACCTCGGAAAGAAAAAATAATATTATTAATAAATTGGCTGATATAATTCCCGAAAATAGAATGGCATTTTGGCGAAACCTTGCTGAAACTAATGATGAAACAGATTAGTTGTTAGTTCTTGCACAATTAAATAAAAAGCATATCGTTTCTTATTTCTTAATTATTTTACACTTAGAAACTCTAGTTATTTTCGTTTTTTTCAGTGTTTATTACTTAAAAAAATAGTCTTGTAGGTGAAGTTGACCTCATCCTTTTGTATGAATTTATGAAAACGTATTAGTTTGTTTATTTTAGTTTATAAACTAATAAAATAAATGTTTATTTAGTGAATACGACTTTTTTATTTAGCATTTTCTTTGAGTTAATTTGAAAAAAAAGTCGTATGTGCATATTTCTTGTCTAATGTAAGGATAATATTTTCCTTTGTATTTGAAAAAATAGAGTGTTCCTAACAATAAATTACGAGCCTGGTAACTTTAGATCAACATAAGATTGAATAAAAATGGAAGTGAAAATATTTAAAGTTAAATATCTCAAAACTAATATTTATGCAGATACGCCCTTTATGCATAGCACGGCAGTATAGACCTATTGTCTTATCCTCCTGCTACTGCAAGATCTTGGAAATCATGACTAAAAATCGTCTGGATTGGTGGCTAGAAAACAACCTTCACCTGGTTCCAAACAGGGTTCAGAAAAGGGATGGGAACCAATAACAATAATGCAACACTTACAACTCACATCAATCTCACCTTCAATCTAAACGAAACTGTATTGGCAGTATTTTTGCACATCAGATCGGATTATAATGGAGTAAATATATATTCATTGTATGAAAAATTGAAAAAGGCAGGCACACCAATGGAACTGTTATATCTAATATTTAGATTATTATTATCAAACAGACCTGTATACTCCAGAAAAAATGATTTGTCCTTCGCGGGTCCAACCCTGGCAGCTTTAGGGCTCCCACAAGGTTCCCCTACTGTTCTCTTCAATATTTATATTGCAGATCTATTCAAGTTCCTACCGAACGATGTTAATTTGATGGGATATGCTGACTTGATAATCTTCTGCAAGAACGTACAACAACTATTGCAGAAATTTGTTGGCAAAACATGGGGGCTAAAGCCAAAGATGGTATTCTGGATTTACCGAACTATAATAAAACCCATGGTCACATACGTCTCATTGGTAAGGTGGGCCAAAACAAAACAAGTCACTGCTCAGATCAAGCTCAGAAAGGTGCAAAGGCTGATATATCTAGGAATAACGAGAGCAATGTCAACTTGACCCACCGCAGCCTTAGAGACGCTACTCAACATGCCCCCACTTCATCTATGTGTGAAAAAGGAGGCAATAACCAGCGCTCATAGGCTATTCCAAATAGACAAGATCAAGCCTGGTGATCTTAGGGGACATCTGCGAATCTTTGATTTAATAAAACTGGAGAATGCCAGCAAAGTAGGTGGTAGACGCTTTTACTCATTGGGCGTCGACCGGTGAGATACCACCATGCCAGAATTGAGTAGCGCTAAGTGGTATCACCACGTTCCGCTACTGCGCTGGCAGTCCGGTTCCAACAATGAGTAACAGATAGCATGATGGCGCCTCCAGGATCAAAATATTCCGGAGGTAAAATACCCGACCACTCGGATCTCCGGGCGTCGGGTGATCTTGGGGGTCCTTCATGCAAAGATATAAAGAGAAGATCAAAAACTCAACTCAGAATTGATTTTAGCAATATAAGAGGAATAAGTACAAATATGAATTCAGTTCACCAACATCTTGAAGAACAAAGACCTGACATCCTTGTTCTCACTGAAACTAAAATCAGTTCTGCAACACCTATTGTGAACTATCTTTATCCCGGCTATGACCTACACCACCGATTTCGACATAATTTTGGGATCTGTGTGTACATTAAAAATGACCTTTCATGTCATCGAGAGGAGAAGCTAGAACCAGCGAACCTCGATATCATATGGCTAAAATTCACCTCAAAGTCATCGACCAAGTTTATCTGCTGCCTCTACCGACCGCCATGTAACACCGAGTACCAAAACTTTTTCGCGACATTATCCGAAAGCTGTGATAGTATACAGTCAAACCATCCACAGGCGGAAATTGTCTTTTTAGGCGACTTCAACGTCCACAATATACCCTGGCTGAAACACCACAACAAAACAGATAACGAAGGCAGAGAAGCAGAAGCTTTTGCCATAAGTTGTGGCAGTTGTGTTCAGCTCGTCGATGAACCTACCCGTATCTCAAAAAGGGGCGAATTTGCAGCGCTTTTAGACTTGTTCCTAACCACAAATCCTGACTCGTACACAATCCGAGTAGATACTCCACTTGGTTCGTCCGATCATAAACTTATAATAACAAAGTGCGAAATGCTCATCCCACCAAGCCAACAACCACTTCCTCGTAAAATGTGGCACTATAAATCGGCAAAATGGAATGACCTAAAACAGTTTTACCTGGATTTTCCATGGCAAGAGGTTTGCTTTAAAACAGCTGATCCCACTATTTGCTGTAATGAAATAACACAAGCAATTTTATCTGGAATGGATGCATATATCCAGCATACAACTAAACGTAGAGCTAATGCAAAACCTTGGTTCAACAGCCAGTGTCAAACGGCTGTACAGAAAAAACACAGAGCATATAACCTTTGGAAACGACAACAAACCGCTCAAAACCACACAGAATTTATAGAAGCCAGAAATAGTTGCAAAATTACTATTGATTCCGCTAAAGAAACATACAATCAAAGAATAAAAAACAGGTTGCTGAATTGTCCAAGTAGTTCTAGGTCCTTTTGGTCTCTTGCAAAAGCTGTTGGATCTAACTTCACCAAGTCATCCATACCACCACTTACAGATAAAAATAATCACTTAGCCACAACATCTGAGGAAAAAGCCAATATGCTTGCCCAAATGTTTTCCTCCAACTCCAACCTAACAGTGCCAAACGGAAAAACTCCACCGTTCATTGAAAGGGTTTCCCATAGTATGCCAGAGGTACCCTTTTGTCACAGAGAAATACGAAAATCCCTTAAAAAGCTGGATACAAACAAAGCAATGGGTCCGGATGGCATTCCCGCAATAGTACTCAAAAATTGCGCCAACGAACTCACCCCAACTTTCGCAAAATTATTCAATTTGTCTTACAGGCAAGGAGTATATCATGGAAGTCTGCCGCAGTACAACCCATTCCAAAGAAAGGAAAAAAGACAAATCCGTTAAACTATAGACCAATTGCTCTACTTTCGGTGATATCAAAAGTAATGGAAAGAGTTGTGAACAATCACCTAACCAAGTACTTGGAAAAGTACAAAATTATCAACGATAAGCAATACGGATTTCGAAAATATACGTCAACTGGCGATTTACTTACATACGTCACTCACTTATGGCAAAAAGCGATTGAGTTGCGGGGTGAAACAAGAACAATTGCCTTAGATATATCTAAAGCATTCGACAAAGTTTGGCATGAAAATCTGCTCAGCAAGCTCAAAGCAATGGGATTATCGCCGAAACTTTGCACTTGGTTTGAAAGTTACCTAAAGGACAGATCCATTTATGTTGCACTGGATGGCCAGAACTCCAACTCTTACCAAATAAATGCTGGCATGCCACAGGGAGCAATCCTTTCGCCAACCCTTTTTCTGATTTACATAAATGACCTCATAGATAAAACAGTAAATCCACTTTATTGCTTTGCAGACGATGGCAATGTAGTCTCCTCACTCATACCACCCACAGGTCTTTCCGCACGTGAATTCCATCATCTTAGACTAACTCAAATATCGCAGATAAATAACGACCTGGAGATAATAGAGGACTGGGGTAACAAAAACCTTGTACAGTTCAACGCGCAGAAAACCCAAGCAGGTCTGTTTTCAAAAAAGACCAGCACCGGTGAGCCAAACATCATGCTATCTGGAAGTGCTGTCAGATTACAGAGTCAGTTGAACATCTTGGGGGTTACTGCAGAGACCAACATGTCTTGGTACAGTCACGTGGCAGATATTGCTAAAAGGGCGTCCCAAAAGCTGGGGGTGCTATTTCGTACAAGACATCTCTACACACCAAGCCAATTGCTGACACTCTACAAAGCCCAGATTCGACCAACTATGGAGTACTGCTCACATATATGGAGTGCAGTACCCAAACATACCTTAATGCTTTTGAACACCGTGCAAAAACGAGCTATCAAGCTGATCAATGACCCCGCACTTACTCGTAACTTGGATGGTCTCGAACATCGCAGATCTGTGGGCGATTTATCTCTCTTCTACAGGTACTATCACGGAAAATGCTCTGAAGAGTTGGCACGTATGATTCCACCGAGAGTAGCACCTACCAGGCGAACCCGTCAAACAGACGGTAACCATGAATTTACTGTCAAACTAGAGGTACCAAGAACCTCATTATATCAGAATTCATATCTCTGGAGAACAGCATCGCTGTGGAATAAACTCCCTGCGACGGTTTTCCCTGCAGGTTACAACCTGAACCGTTTCAAGACCAACATACACCGACATTTCCGCGCACTTGCCGCTTCTCGAGCGTGATAGGACATTTCCTTGCGAGTGCGCATATCCGTAAAAAAAAAAAAAAACAAGCGACCACATGATGGTCAGATTGGACTTAGAGATCCCATTCGCAGTGGTAATGAACGACCGCCAATCATGGGAGAATAAAAAATTGCCACAAGCAGACAATGCATCTCTGTGGTACACAGATGGATCCAAGCTAATGGAAGGAGCTGGACTGGGCATCTCCGGCCCTAACTTCAAGCTCTCCAAGGCATTGGCTAAACATCTTACAATATTTCAAGCCGAACTGCTCGCCATAGATATATGTGCACAAGAGTGTCTTAGCCAAAGCCTCAAAAGAAAACATATCTTCATACTATCGGACAGCCAAGCTGCCTTAAAAGCCTTAAGGGCTTTCAAATGCACGTCAAAACTAGTCTAGGAGTGTAAACAGACCCTAAAAACACTAGCGACACACAACCAAGTAACGCTGATGTGGCTGCCTCGTCATCGAGGCATAGAAGGTAATGAAGAAGCAGATGGCCTCGCAAAGGAAGGGGCCTCAACACCATACCATGGACCAGAGCCCTACTGTGGCTTAATGAAAAGTCACATCATGGAAGAACTCAATAAATGGGAGAAAGACCAACTGTCATCATACTGGAGGCACACACCGGGACTCAGACAGTTTGAAAGGTTTATTACCCTTTCAGCAAAAAGAGCTGAACAGCTCCTGAGCATGAGCAGACCAGACATCAGATTGGTGGTGGGACTGCTCACAGGACACTGCCCAGTAAAATACCATTTAAGGTTAATTGGCAGAGCGGAAGACGATCTCTGCAGATTCTGCTCAGACGCAATAGAGACCGCAGAGCACCTGCTCTGCGAATGTCTAGCCCAATTCTGCAAGAGACTCAAATTCCTCGAGGGGGCAACACTGTCACCAGTAGAAGTGGGCAAACTAACACCCAGGAAAATAGCTTCCTTCGGCAGAAGTCTACGCTTCCTGGAGACAATTTGAGATGTAGAGTCATATACAAAATATCTGCAAATGTAGCAGTGCTGAGCGGCTGAAAAGCCGAAACGACTCCCCCGTAATCTACAATCTACAACTATCGCAGAGGATTAACGTTGCCCTGGATAAAGCTGATAAATGGCTAAAAAAAAATAGCTTATTCCTCTCAATCGAGAAATGCGAGTCCGTCTGGTTTACTAAAGGTGCGCGAAAGTTCGAAAAATTTAAAATAGGATAAAAATATTATAGAAAATATATTTAACAAAGCAAGAAAGGAGATAAATGTGATGAAATGCTCTGCCAGAGTTTGGTGGGGAGCGGACCCACAAATCCTTTTGACTGCATTCAATGCTTTGGTGAGATCCCACCTAGATTTTGGATCTATCTTTATAAATCCCACTTCAATAAAAAACAAGGACAAACTGAACTGTATACCATATGAAGGACTAAAAATTTGTACAGGATGCATGAGATCTACTTCCACCAATGTCCTACTGGCCGAACCAGCAATGATGTCCCTAGAATACAGGAGAAAGTGGTGAGGCGTCAAGTTTTTACCGATATTCATTTCAATACTCAACCATCTATTAATACTAGCTCTCAGACAACTACATCAATGCTATGCACGTAATGCAGGGTCCTGGAAGGAACGACGTAGTCCTTACCTTGTACAGGCATTGACTCGTTTCTTCCCATATTTTAACAAAATATACAAAAGAGGTATACAACCATTGAATATGACATCTAAATTCAGCACCTAGGATACTTGAACTTTAGCCTCAAAAAAAGAGAACTGACTACCAAATCACAGTTTCTGATGGATACTGAGAAACTTAAGAAAAAGTACAATATTATCTTCACAGATGCCAAAAAAAGAAAGGGATAGAGCTGGATTCAGGATCTACATCCCTGATATCGATTTCAGATTTTCGGCAAGACTACAAGGGGAGTTATGCATCTGCACTGCAGAAACGATTGCCATTTATGAAGCAGCCAACATTGTACTGAGGAAAAATTTGAAGAACGCGATCATTTTCACGGACTCACTTAGTGCTGTGACCAAATTCTCTTAAAGTTACATAGACATATCCACCGACCATATTACAGTAACTACAAAAAGACTAATTAATCACAGAAGCTAATGAGATAGTGATAGTGAGTAAATAAAATACGCCTAGCCTGGATTCCGGGAAATTCGGGTATTTCAGAGGCTTTATTCTTGAAACAGGGGAGCAGCGTTCCTAGGAGAGCGAGTGTTCTGTCTTTCTCAATGATATGGACATGATAATATAGGTAACAATGATGGACCACTGGTTCTTCTGGGAACAATGCTCCCCTGTTTCAAGAATAAGGACCCTGGAAATGAAATGGCGGCACACTGGCGAACATTAGCAGAGATTTGAACGTTCCCAAAAACATTGACATTTACAAAGGGAAAATTGCAAACTTAATCAAAGCAGATACACTTATTACTCAAGCACGATAAAGATTGGAAAAAAATTTTACAAATTAAGGGAACGCAGTACAAAAATATCCAGCCATCCTTTCCAGAAAGAAAATATCACATCACTAACAAGAATGCGATTCCGCCATTGCCTGACTAAGGGCCAAATTTATAGTCGCTCCTTGAGGTTTCCTCAGACCTTAAGGAAGCCTTGAACGTTTAGAATTGCCATGACTAACTTGTCAAATAATAGCAAGTGTCCATTCTAAATTCACGACCTTCAAGGAAGAGCCAAGGAACAACTATAAATTCGGCCCTAAACAACACTTTTTCAAAATTGGCATTGGGAATGACCCTTTATGCGAATGTGGCAAAATGACTTAAACCACATTTTCTTTCTTCTGAGTGCCCCTTTATTAAATGTTTTCACAGCGGGTTCTTGAAAGTATATCGTAATTATTTTATAAAGAGTAAGTTAACACACATGGGAGTTGTGGGAGTACATACTTGACAATCTTGAAATTCCACCGAATGTAGCAGTGCCAAGTAACGAAGAACAAGAATAACTGATAAACTGGCTCTAAAGAGCCATCAAGAACTGAAAAATACTTCTATTAGAAGCCGGTAATAGTTCAGCAATCAGTTAATTATCTGGATTTCGAAGGCAAATGTATAATGAAACTAAGGACCGGTTTATCAGTGGAAAGTTATTCAGTAAAGCTGTCATTTAATAATTATTAGTTAGCTCAGCTGACAGCTAAACTAAATAACCGTCCAACTGATAAACCGGCCCTTAAAGAAATCAAGAACTTAAAAATACTTCAATCAAGAGCCGGTAATAGTTCATTAATTAATTACCTATCCTGATTTTGAAGACCTACTAGGTATAATGAAACTAATGAACCAGCTTATCAGAATTTAGTTGCCAGTTAACTAATCATAATTATCGACAACTTAACTAACCGTCCACTGATAAACCGGCCCGAAGATTGTTTCACGGAACCTTTATACAACCAAAAACTACTTACACGTCCCCTGGCAAGCATTTGTTCGGCTGCGTAAACGTAACCTCCACATTTAGGGCATCCTTCACCTTCTGGAGCCTTGGCGATAGCCTTAGAAATCAATGGGGCTCTGCCAATCACGATATCGTCCCTAAATTATCAATAAAAAATTTAAAAAACCTTGAAAAAATTATGCAACAAAAGCAATTTGGTTAAGAAAAAAAGCAATTTTTAAAGGCTTTTATAAGGTCGGTTTCTTAATAGCGAGTCATCTCCAGGTTGGTTTTAACTAACGTATCCAGTTGCAATGATTATCCTGGAGTCATGCTTAACCTGGGGGTGACTGGCTATCGAGAAACTGGCCTTTAGAAAATGAAATTTGTAGCTTAAGCAAATATTTATTAGTCAGATGCCTAATATTTATTCTACACATTGAAAGTTTTTGTCAGATTCTAGAATAAACAACATTAATGTAAACATAGTAAAAAACAGTATTTATGTATAATTTCGAAAGCCCAAATAATAAGAAAACGTTTGTAAAAGGCTTCCATTAACAGTAGTTTAAGAAGCGTTAAGCTGCCAGGCTGCTAAAGTGAAAATAAACTAAAAATAAAAAAAAAATAAAAGTAATGAGAGAAGGCTGAGTGGTCCCGAAACAAAACAAAACAAGAAAAAATCTAAATAATTGAGGGCGCCCCCCCCCTTATCCCATCACAGACAAAAAAGCAAAGGTTAGGAGGAAACAAAAATAAGGAACAAGACTAATAAGGCAAGTGTTAAAAATTAAAAAAAAATATAGCGCAGTGCGATTGGCCAAATAAATATATACAAAAAAAAAATATAATTCTCACCGTCGGTTTTTTTTTTGTTTGTTTTTGAATAGGGTTTGTGACGTCACAGTTCCACAATTTTCACAAAGACGGGATCAATGGGTTTGGGAGAGGGCAGACAATATCCACACAAAACATTTTTTGAGGGTGTGTGATATGAAAAGGCATCTAATCATTTACTGGGTGAGTATTTTCTAAAATAGTTGGTTTACTAATACTTTCCAAAATTTAACTTAGTCACCCTGTACAAAAATGTTTTACTGGATATTGCCCATTATTACATTAAAGCAACAACCATTTAAAATTTTTCTTCTTTATTTCCATTGATGTCCAATTATTATTATTACAAATTTGACTAATAAATCCAATAAGTAATAATTAGAAAATTATTGTAAAACGAAATATAAATATATAATAAATTACTTTACTAAAATAATTAAAGTCTATATAAATAAAAATAATAAAAAAAATTAAAAAAACAGAAAAATTTAAACAAAAAAGACAAAAACGGTGGATGGATGTTGGAAAGAGAGGGTTGACGACGCATAATTGATGTTTAAAATTTGATTTGTTTTTTGGGAGGATGGTGAGTGTGTGCGTGGTCGCCTCGATCCCGGTCGATCCAATCATTTAGTTACTGCGATACAAAAAGAGAGCAAAATGTCATGCTTTTGTGGGACAACATTAAACAAAAAATTTTATCGGCTTTTTGAAACAAGCACAACACATCTGAATTAGTTACTTGAGTTCAAAAAGTTAAAGCATTCAGAGGTGTTAGCTTGGGCAAAAATTAAAATAGTAGTAGGACTAAAGAAAAGGAAGCCCTCAATTAAAGATTTATAACCGATATAACCAAAACCTTCTATTGTTTGTGTCTAAAATATTAGACTGTGATTTAAACTTACCCTTGGAGATGGGCGCCAGTGTCCATGCTAAGGCATCCAGCGCCACCGCCGAAACCGTAACCTTTGGGTCCGTATTTACGGGCGTGGCAGTTCTTGCAGTAAAGTTCGGCTTCGTGTTCAGTTACGTTGGTAGAGTCCAACATTTTTCCGCAAAGACCTGAAACAATTCAGAATTTGCCTTTTAGGAAAATGATCTTATGGATCAATTCGGTGATATTTCCATTATGACTTGAATAAATCAGAAGAGGAATAAATTCTCTATAAATCTGTGTTAAATTGAGTTTGATGGGTCAAATACTTTTTGAACAATTGAGCCTCAAAGTTGAATTCTAGTCAAAAACTTCAAACTCAATTTTCTCAAAAACTATAAACCTGATAATATTTTGCAATGCAGGTTTTTTGGAGCTTATTAGGTGCTAAATTTTGATTCAATATCTCTCAGGGATTTCAAGAATGTAAAGCCTAAAGATTTTGAAATATAACAATCCAAAACATACAAGGTTCTTGAAAAATACTTTCAGCCATTCCAGCAACTTGAAACAATCAGAATTTGTTAGATGAAGTTTTTTCGTAATACAAAACAAAGGTTCCTGAAAAATAGCTTAAGCCATCCCAGCAACTTAAAACTTTCAGGATTTATTAAATGAAGTTTTTTCATGATACAAAACAAACTGGAAGTTCATATGAAACTCGCATTTGAAATTACGAACTTTTTCACTCATTGATACCTAAAGAAATCATAAAATCCTGTAAAATCGCCTTTGTAAGTTCCTGAAAAATACTTCCAGCCATCCCAGCAACTTGAAACTTTCAGGATTAGTTAGATGAAGTTTTTTCATGATACAAAACAAGTTGGGAGTTGATACGAAACTCTCATCTTAAGTTACAAATTTTTTTACTCATTGATACCCGAGAAAATTATAAAATTACCTTTGAAGGTTCCTGAAAAATAGCTTCAGCCATCCCAGCAACTTGAAACTTTCAGGATTTGTTAAATGGAGTTTTTTCATGATACAAAAAAAAACTGGAAGTTTATATGAAGCTCACATTTGAAATTACGAATTTTTTCATTGATTGATACCTAAAGAAATCATAAAATTCCTGTAAAATCGCCTTTGTAGGTTCCTGAAAAATACTTCCAGCCATCCCAGCAACTTGAAACTTTCAGGATTAGTTAGATGGAGTTTATTTATGATACAAAACAAGTTGGAAGTTGATATGAAACTCTCATCTTAAGTTACAAATTTTTTTACTCATTGATACCCGAGAAAATTAAAAAATCACCTTTGAAAGTTCCTGAAAAATAGCTTCAGCCATCCCAGCAACTTGAAACTTTCAGGATTTGTTAAATGGAGTTTTTTCATGATACAAAAAAAACTGGAAGTTTATATGAAACTCACATTTGAAATTACGAATCTTTTCATTGACTGATACCTAAAGAAATCATAAAATTTCTGTAAAATCGCCTTTGTAGGTTCCTGAAAAATACTTCCAGCCATCCCAGCAACTTGAAACTTTCAGGATTAGTTAGATGAAGTTTATTCATGATACAAAACAAGTTGGAAGTTGATATGAAACTCTCATCTTAAGTTACAAATATTTTTACTCATTGATACCCGAGACAATTATAAAATCACCTTTGAAGGTTCCTGAAAAATAGCTTCAGCCATCCCAGCAACTTGAAGCTTTCAGGATTTGTTAAATAGAGTTTTTTCATGATACAAAACAAACTGGAAGTTCATATAAAGCTCACATTTGAAATTACGAATTTTTTCATTGATTGATACCTAAAGAAATCATAAAACTCCTGTAAAATCGCATTTGTAGGTTCCTGAAAAATACTTCCAGCCATCCCAGCAACTTGAAACTTTCAGGATTAGTTAGATGAAGTTTATTCATGATACAAAACAAGTTGGAAGTTGATATGAAACTCTCATCTTAAGTTACAAATTTTTTTACTCATTGATACCCGAGAAAATTATAAAATCACCTTTGAAGGTTCCTGAAAAATAGCTTCAGCCATCCCAGCAACTTAAAACTTTCAGGATTTATTAAATGGAGTTTTTTCATGATACTAAATAAACTGGAAGTTCATATGGAACTCACATTTGAAATTACGAATTTTTTCACTCATTGATACCTAAAGAAATCATAAAATTCCTGTAAAATCGCCTTTGTAAGTTCCTGAAAAATACTTCCAGCCATCCCAGCAACTTGAAACTTTCAGGATTAGTTTGATGAAGTTTATTCATGATACAAAACAAGTTGGAAGTTGATATGAAACTCTCATCTTAAGTTACAAATTTTTTTACTCATTGATACCCAAGAAAATTATAAAATCACCTTTGAAGGTTCCTGAAAAATAGCTTCAGCCATCCCAGCAACTTAAAACTTTCAGGATTTGTTAAATGGAGTTTTTTCATGATACAAAACAAACTGGAAGTTCATATGAAGCTCACATTTGAAATTACGAATTTTTTCACTCATTGATACCTAAAGAAATCATAAAATTCCTGTAAAATCGCCTTTGTAAGTTCCTGAAAAGTACATCCAGCCATCCCAGCAACTTGAGGATTAGTTAGATGAAGTTTTTTCATGATACAAAACAATTTGAAAGTTGATATGAAACTCTCATCTTAAGTTACAAATTTTTTCACTCATTGATACCCGAGAAAATTATAAAATCACCTTTGAAGGTTCCTGAAAAATAGCTTCAGCCATCCCAGCAACTTAAAACTTTCAGGATTTGTTAAATGGAGTTTTTTCATGATACAAAACAAACTGGAAGTTCATATGAAACTCACATTTGAAATTACGAATTTTTTCACTCATTGATACCTAAAGAAATCATAAAATTCCTGTAAAATCGCCTTTGTAGGTTCCTGAAAAATACTTCCAGCCATCCCAGCAACTTGAAACTTTCAGGATTAGTTAGATGAAGTTTTTCCATGATACAAAACAAGTTGAAAGTTGATATGAAACTCTCATCTTAAGTTACAAATTTTTTCACTCATTGATACCCGAGAAAATTATAAAATCACCTTTGAAGGTTCCTGAAAAATAGCTTCAGCCATCCCAGCAACTTAAAACTTTCAGGATTTGTTAAATGGAGTTTTTTCATGATACAAAAAAAACTGGAAGTTCATATAAAGCTCACATTTGAAATTACGAATTTTTTGATTGTTTGATACCTAAAGAAATCATAAAACTCCTGTAAAATCGCCTTTGTAGGTTCCTGAAAAATACTTCCAGCCATCCCAGCAACTTGAAACTTTCAGGATTAGTTAGATGGAGTTTATTTATGATACAAAACAAGTTGGGAGTTGATATGAAACTCTCATCTTAAGTTACAAATTTTTTTACTCATTGATACCCGAGAAAATTATAAAATCACCTTTGAAGGTTCCTGAAAAATAGCTTCAGCCATCCCAGCAACTTAAAACTTTCAGGATTTGTTAAATGGAGTTTTTTCATGATACAAAACAAACTGGAAGTTCATATGAAGCTCACATTTGAAATTACGAATTTTTTCACTCATTGATACCTAAAGAAATCATAAAACTCCTGTAAAATCGCCTTTGTAGGTTCCTGAAAAATACTCCCAGCCATCCCAGCAACTTGAAACTTTCAGGATTAGTTAGATGAAGTTTTTTCATGATACAAAACAAGTTGGAAGTTGATATGAAACTCTCATCTTAAGTTGAAAATTTTTTTACTCATTGATACCCGAGAAAATTATAAAATCACCTTTGAAGGTTCCTGAAAAATAGCTTCAGCCATCCCAGCAACTTAAAACTTTCAGGATTTGTTAAATGGAGTTTTTTCATGATACAAAACAAACTGGAAGTTCATATGAAACTCACATTTGAAATTACGAATTTTTTCATTCATTGATACTTGAAAAAATCATAAAATTCCTGTAAAATCGCCTTTGTAGGTTCCTGAAAAATACTTCCAGCCGTCCCAGCAACTTGAAACTTCCAGGATTTGTTAGATGAAGTTTTTTCATGATACAAAACAAACTGGAAGTGGATATGAAGCTCACAACTAAAGTTACGATTTTTTTTACTCATTGATACCTGAGAAAATCATAAAATCATTTTTGAAGGTTCCTGAAATACTTTCAGCCATCCGAGCAACATGAAACTTTCAGAATTTGTTGAATAAAGTTTTTTCATGATACAAAATAAACTGAAAGTTGATATGAAGCTCACAACTAAAGTTACGAATTTTTTTACTCATTGATACTAGGGACTTTTATGGATGAGTGAATAATGGCCGTTTCCACCAACTATTTTAGGGGTGCCCTAACGATAAGTAATCCCTAAAATGACATTTTTACATGGAGAAACGTCAGTTTAAGCCATACCTATCGTTAGGGTTTCCCTAAAATAGTTGGTGGAAATGGCCAGCTCTTTATTTTTTATCTTTCTTCAATGAAGATGACTAAAAAAAGACAAAGTGTCGGTACATCAGCTGGTGACCGGGTAGCATTTTTGTATCGAGCGCCCAGTATACCGCATTCGGGTAACGTCGTATTAACAGAGGCCTGTCTCATAACGAGCGTCTGATTTCCCGATCGATTGTCAAGCTACCGTACGCTCGATACTAGTCTTCTGCGAAATTATGGATCGGCGTCCAACAATTCAGTTTTTTTTTTTTTAATTGTTTATCATTTATTATGCACTGGCCAGAAAATTATATGTACCACATTGTCGATTCCAGCGAAATACGAACTAATTTCAAGACTAAGCAGGAAGTCGAGGTAAGGGAATAAGTAAGAGCAAAATTATGTTTTATCTACATAACCTTACCATGAATAGAATACCATGGCGAGATAGAATAGGCCACTTTCACGTTTTTTCGAAAACATTTTTGAATTATTGTGTTAGCCATTCTTCCAATGACATTATCATATGTATACTTTTTTCTCCAAAAAAAAAACGCCTATTTTTTGAAATATGTTAGAACGATTTAAAAATCGAATTTTTAAATTAACAAGATTTTTGCTATTTACTTAGGGATTTGTATACCTGCAATCGTTATTTGACAAATGCGGAGATTAGATTCAGGCAGATGTAAATAATTATTTATGATGCTGTCTCTAAGTAACAAAACTAACCAAAACTAACCCAAATTGGAGCTGAGCAAAAGGTT